AATAAAAAATTAGATGCGAGGGAGATTAATATGTTTCTCGAATGGATGTCTTTGCGGCGAATATCGGCGACGTATATTAAAGCTAAAATCTCGTCTCCTCAACTTTCTCCGACTTTCGCATGGATGTATCAAGTTGGGGCATAAGTTTGGACGATTTCTTTTCTAATTATTTCTATGTGAATAAATCGTACAAAACTAATATCTCAACTCGATAGAACGTTGTAGATCCGGGGGAGATTGGACATTTTCGAGTGGATATATACTTGTACAGAATATATTGGCAATAGATGCAAAATCCCATGGACCTCGTCTTATCAGCCACCGACTATCGCATTAGAGTATTAGGTTGGCGCATAAGTTTGTGCGATATCTTTTCTAATCATTTGTATGAAAAAAGTCGCGCAGACTCATGCCTCAACTCAATAGAACGCTGTAAAGGAAGATTTTCCAAGTTTTCGAATATCGGCAACTGATACACTGGAGCCAAAGTCTCATGGACCTTGTCTCAGCTTCCACCAACTTCCATATACATGTATTAGGTTGGGGCACAAGTTTGTACGACTTGTTTTCTATCGATTGGTGTGAAAAAAGTCGTGCTAACTTGTGCCTCAACTCAATAAATTGCTGTACATTTGAGGGAGATTACAAGCTTCCTAATGGATAAACTTACAGCGAATATTGGCAGCGATGCACCGAAGCAAAAATCCCATGGACCTCGTCTTCCAGACTTCACTGACTTCCACGTACAAGTATTAAGTTGGTGCATAAGTTTGCACGAATTCTTTCTAGCTATTAAATGGAATAATTCGCGCAAATTCGCTCTTCAACCTAATAGAACGCTGTAGACCTAAGAGAAATGATAAGCTTTCGAATAAATGTACTCATATCGTATCAAGGCAAGAACTTGTACTGATTTTTTTTTTTAACAATGCGAATGAAAAACACAAATATACACCTCGATCTCAAATTTATCAGCTCTTCAGGTATACCGTGAAAATAAATTCCATTCTAAGGAAATTATTTCTTTGAGCAATGCTCAAAGAAATGCTTTCCTGAAGGGAAATGAATTATCTTCGCAATGTAAGACCGAATTCATCCTTAAGTATGAAGGATACGAGTCCTGGAAAACAGGAGCACACTCTTCAGGGTGTCTCCGTGGTCTCTGGACGATGGCGGCGGATCTTCCCAGGGGAAGCGACGGCATAATCGAGACCCCATCGTGCCAGCTTCCATCCTTGGGAGGACCTTTCGGGGGGGAATTCGCGATCCTGCCAGCAGGTCCTTTTCGGGGACCGAGAGAGAAGGCGCGCATTAATTAACGATGCAAATGAAATTCCCAGCAGCAGGCTGCGAAGGGGCCGGTGCGAAGTCGAAGAGAGGCCGCCTACACCGTGCAGCCTCGGACAACGGAGACGTCCCTGGTGCCGGCCTCGCTCCTGCAGGTGCACAGGACGACCGGCCAATCGGGACTCGAGAAGGCTGCCCGGTTCCCCGCTGGCCGAGGACTCCGCCAGGTTTACAATTACACCGCGGCGAAGCGTTAAGACGAACTTAATTAGTCCCTGGATAAATTATCCATAGGACGGCCGGGACGTCGGGGTAATGGGACGAGTCCTGGACACGGGAGTGGGCGTCAGCTGGACGTCCGGGACCAGTCCGGAGAAGTCGACGCCGACTGGTGAGACCCTGAAGAGGTACTTGACGAGGACCGGTGTACTCGCACCTGGACACTCGACGTACAACTAGGTGCGCGACCCCCTGTGGCAACGAATATCGGTAATACCTATCTCCGACATATCTCTTTCGACCCGATATTGTCAATAAACCCTCCGAACCTCCCGCAAAAACCGCAATATACTCTGCTAAAACAATTAACCCACCTTAAGGACCCGCAGAGAAATAATTCAGGATCAAAATTAAAAATGTTACCTATTTCAATCAATCTAAGGTAATTGAAATTTGGTCAATAACACTTCCCAGGAAATTGTTAGCCGTCCCGATGATAAATAACCATATTTCACTGGGGTAATACGAGTTACGTTCATAATTGCGGTGTACTTTCCAAACGACGACAGGCATATGTCACTCGTTCGAGTAGTGACGATATCTTTTGGCCGTCGGTTCTCTGCTAGTTTAGGGGGTGGATGTACCGTTTAAAGGAATCTGAAGGGTTCCGGATGATTTAGAAGATTGCAATTTCAGGATCGCAGGAAGAGGCCGCTCGGATCGAAGCGCGATCGGGGATCGATCGACGTCCATAAATCCCCGAACTTATGCGCCTGCTGTTTCCCCGACGCGATGGCCATTATCGGTAAACACACTATTAGGCTCGGTCGCCGGTAAGAAAGCCCTGCACCAATCTAGGCCCATAAAACTAGCCGAGTGTCCGGTAATAACGTGCGAACGCGCCATCCATCAAGACGGACAAAACAGTTAAGCGCCTATCCCGGCGGACGGTGCGGTAATGAACGCGGCTGCTGCCGGGCTCATGAGGCGAAATGTCGCAAAAAAGCTGGAACACGCGCTAAATCTCGTCTCCGTAGCTGCCGGGATCACCCTGGACGGGCACCGACGGGGCCCCGGGGAAGAGAAATGAATTTATACGGGGAAAACGGGAGAAACGGCGCGCTTAAGAGGATGCTGAAGAGTCCGGCTCCGAAATTGGCTGCCATTAGCGGTGGCGGCGCGCATTCAGGTGCGCGGTTAATTGCGTTATATCGTGCGATCGCGACGACACCTCGAGTAAGTTGGATGGAAAACCTCGTTTTTCGAGGCCCTGAAGAAGGGAGACACGCTCTCCCACCTCCCTGCGATTGATGGCCCTCTTCGGGGTAAGCTCGTTCCGGAGGAATCGGACCAGGACGCAGAAGGAGAAACGGGGGAGGCAGTTTTAAAGCCGTTCGCACGGGGCCGGACTGCTTAGCCTCTGGCCTAACCTCCTGGAGACCCTGCCCCGTATAAATCTGCCTTAATGATATCAAGGAACTCCGGGACGATGCTATCTCGAGCGGGTCTCTCTGCACGTGAGAACGAGTCCGACACCTTCGAGGGGCCGCTCGACGAGGCCGTCAGCCGAATGCGGAGTGACCCTCTGGGTCTGGGTCCCCGGTTCATGGTTTCACGGGGGAATTCTGGATTTCTGGGTACGAGTGTTAACGCGACCTAGGCTGGATCTTATTTTGTATTTGTCAAAAGGTGAGGGAAATAAGGAGTCCACTTTTCTTTTTTTTTTATTTATTTATTTAGGGCCTTGAAGAGCAGTGATGGAGCGGCTGACTTCAGGTCCCTACTTGGGTCCCTTCTGATAGGTCAGGGAGAAGGTTTTACGGAAGTGCCATGGAATTTTCTTCGATTTCCGTGTTGGACCCTGAAGATGACCCAGAAGGAACATCTCTCTCTCTCCCTCGTGAGAACTTATAAAAAAAAAATTTTCCTTCTAAAGGGTTTCGAAGAGCAATGATGGATCGACCGACTGCAGGGGTCCGCAAGGTCGGGCCTCTGATGGGCCCCTCGCGAATCCCTCAGAGGGATTTGCAGAAGTGCGAAGAAATTCACCTCGATTTCCACGTTGGGCCCTGAAGAGGACCCGAAAGGACATCCCTCCCTAGTGAAAAATCACGTAAAAAAATATAAATTTCTCGTTTTTTCTCAGAGTCTCGAAGAGCAGTGATGGATCGTTCGGTTGCAGGGGTCCGCGAGGTCGGGCCCCTGATGGGCCCCTCGCGATGGGTTGGCAAGAGGGTCTCACGGAAGTGCGGAGATTACGCCGCGGATCGACGAGCGGGGCCGGTCGTCCTCTCACTCGTAAATTTGTCACGGGGCCCGTCTCGTTTTCCGCGATTTCATCCTTTTTGCCGGGGGCCCCCGCCCCCCTCCCCCGTAGGGGGGCAGGCTCGTTTCAATTTGCGGGATTTCTTATCACCGCTCGCGAGCTTGCCCGGCGATCCGCTCGTTAAATGGAGCCAGTAACGCAAATGTAGTAAATAAAGGGGGCAGTTACGTCTCAATGGCAAGAAAACTCGGGGGGGCCCCCCACTGGCCGATCGAGAGGTGACTTATGCACCGAAGAACCTCGCGAGGAGGAGCTTTCGAGGTCGGAGAGCGCTCCGAGCGGTGAAATTCACGTCAGGATGCCTAGGGCTCTTCAAGATCGCTCAATTACCGTCTCTTCGAGGTCGAGTCGCGCCCATCGGAAGGGAAGGTCCAGTCGCCTCTGGAACTCCAACGCGTTCTCCATTCCAACTTGGAGAACGGATATCAACACTGGTCTCGGCGGTACCTGAAGAGCTCGTCGAAGAAGGGACAGCGAAATTCACCAGGAGTGTAATCGCACAAAAATCCCGTCGCCTCTGGAGCTCCAACGCGTTCTCCATTTCAACTTGGAGAACGGAGATCAACACTGGTCTCGACGGTACCTGAAGAGCTCGTCGAAAAAGGGACAGCGAAATCCACCAGGAATGTAATCGCACAAAAATCCCGTCGCCTCTGGAACTCCAACGCGTTCTCCATTCCAACTTGGAGAACGGAGAGCAACACTGGTCTCGGCGGTACCTGAAGAGCTTGCCGAAGAAGGGCAGCGAAATTCGCTAGGAATGTAATCGCATAAAAATCCCGTTGCCTCTGGAAATCTAACGCGTTCTACGTTCCACCTTGGAGAACGGAGACCAACACTGGTCTTCGGCGGCACCTGAGGAGGTTGCCGAAGAAGGGGCAACGAAATTTGCTAGGAATTTAATCGCACAAAAATCCCGTCGCTTCTGACAGGTGGAACGATTGCCTTGACCCCCTGAAGAGCTTCGTATTGTCCAGTCTAAAATGATAATCATGTTAAGGAGAGCAGCGCCGGGACGGTCGTAGCGTCCAGTCGCGTACTCGTTACCGGACACAATGGGGAACACGCTGGGCAGCCTCTCGAAACTACCGGGCCCGGTTTTAATAAAAATCGTACATCTGGCCGTGTACGTTCCTCGGACTGTATTTCAGCTGGGGACAACAGGAAAACGGACAGGACGAGGGGACATTAGGGGAGGACACCGTCCTGCACCTACGATGCGCTCTGATAACGCGGGCATTCGTCTTGCAGGAACCCTGTGCCTCTTCAGGAACTGCAGGGACTACATCATGGACGCTTTCCTGGGAGAGGAAGGACCAGAGGATCAGCGTCGGTGGAGGGGTTGTCATTGAAGCTAGCGATAGTTCTGGATGACATCCGCACCTGTTCAGCGATGTCATGGATGTGAACTTGCAATGAGCAGGGTTCCAGGGGGACTGCAGGATCAGGGCTAAAGGACGAGCCTGAAGGGCTCGAGGGACGAACCCTTCAGGTCCAGGAAGAACGTAACAGACGCCACGCGGTGGGAACCCTTCTTCGAGGTACCATCTTCTAGATGAGGAGGCCATCCGTGCTGGGAGGTTGCTCATTGCTGTCGCTGCTCCTGCTGCTCCTGCTGCCGCTGCGACTTCTGCCACCAGCTTCTTCTCTGTCATTGTAGTCAGGGTTGTCGTAGTCAGGATTATCGCAGTCAGGGTTCGCGTAGTCGTCGCCATTGAGCTCGTTTCCGGCCCCACTCTCCAAGTCAGGATCGTCATCCTCGAACCTCGGGGACTCCGTCTCGAACTCGCTGATGATCTTCGGGGGTATCTCCAAGGGAAGGGCCTCCACCCCGTCACCCTGGGCGCGACCTCTGCCCCCGCACATGCACTTCTTAGCCTTGATCTTCTTCTTGCGCTTCTTCGCACTCTTCCGCTTCCCGCAGCCACTCATCTTCTTCATCTTCTTCTTCTTTTTCTTCCTCTTCACCTTTCGCTTCATGCCGCATTTTCCGGCGCGCTTCTTCTTCTTTTTCTTCTTCCTCTTCATTTTCTTTTTACAAGAATCCTCGGGCACCATGCTGCTCGGGTTGAAGTCCGCCAGGTCCGAGTTGAGGGTGTAGTGCCCGTGGACCTTCTTCAGGATCCCGTAGGCCAGACCACGGTTCAGCGCGGTTAACACCTAGAAGAAAGCAAATGATCGTCAGGGTTTGCGAGGAGTTTGGTACTCCTCCAAGGTTGGGTTAAGAAGAAGAAGAGGAACCTGGCGCTGGATCGCTGGACTGGTCCCGCCATATTCAGAGGAAATGTAGTTCATGATCTCCTTCGAGGTCGAGCCCCGCACCTCCCTGAGGTCCCTGATGGCGGAGACCACCACGGCCGACATCTTGGGCGCCGTTCCCACCATCCTGGCAAACTCCCCCTCGTTACCCCCTCACCAGTTCCTGGATCATCGGCAAAACCTACACCTCGCTCGCCAAGGAGCCGTATATCCTTCCTCAGCTTCCTGACCTATGACAGCAGACATGACGTCCCTTCAAGGTACAACAACCCTCATTGAAACGCTTCTAATTGCTCATAATTACCAATTTAAGAGTCCACAGGTCCGCGATTAAATTTCTCGTTCATCCCAAAGACCTTTGAATTTAGGGGGACTGGAAAGTCAGAAGGAACTTCGCAGGACGATCCTTGGCATGTCTTGGAAGTGCCACAGGAGTCCTGGGGGCGCTGCGACAGTGCCGCGAGGGACGCTCACGCCTTGAAGAGGACCCTGAAGAGCCGCATCCTCGCGCCGACACCCGGTGAATTTAATTCCTGAACAGTCGGCCGAAAGGATGATTTTCTCGGGGGATGCCGAAACCGAGCAATGACAACCCGGAGATAAATGAAGACGTTGTTACGGGGCAGTTTGACGCTCTTCTGTTGGCGTTGCCATGAATGACTGCGCCTGCTCGTGGTGGATCTTGTGGTGCCAGAAAATCATGGATAGGTGGGAATTTTTTTATCCCTTTCCGATCCATAAAGGGAACGCATCCTGAGCGGATGCACCTTACTGCACACATGCTATTGGCGTCGGATTCTACTAAATCGGTGGCAGAAAAAATTGGATTTCTGTATAAAGGGGATGCACCCTGGTGCATGTATGTACTTGGCATTGTACTCTATCCAGTCGGTGCCATACAAATTTGGATTTACACATAAAGGGAGGGCATCCTGGTAGGATGCACTTCGCGGCATACATGTTCATGGCGCCGGACTCTACCCAGTCGGAGTCCGCGAACGGGATCTGAATTTCGTGCCAGTTTTTGCCGCATTGATGGCGGCGTAACGAGATCACCGGGGAAGTGGCGGAGCAGGAGCGAATGTCAAGTCTCATAATAATTATCCCGAGGAATCCCTGAGTCCCGTGGGAGAGCGTAGACCGAGCCGGGAGAGCGGGGTTAAAAAAGTTGAATAAAGGAAGGCCTGCGGAGAATAGCCCGAAGGCCTTGGGCGAACAAGAGGAATTCCTTGCACAGTGTGTGGGAGTCATCACCGGTCATCACCCGGCGCCCCAGGACGTCCACCGATGGACAATGGTCAACCGACTGCGATGATTGCCACCGAGCACCGCCGGGGACCGCACAAAAGGGTCAATCTCCCTTTTTTATCCTCCTCGAGCCGAAGTCCCGCGGGAGACGGTCATCGAATCGTGGATCGACACCTTGACGAGACGATCGGCGGGAAAGAAACTCGTCAGGAGGGAGATTTCAATGGTTAAAAAATGGATATCGGTATCGATAGAGGTTTACAGGACCGCCAGGATTGGATCGGGAGTACTGGTACCGGAGGCCTTGAAGAGACCCTGAAGAAATTCTTAAGAGACTTAGAAGAGACCCTGAAGACATCCAAATAGACCTCGGGGTCCGACATCCGAAACTCCGCGATTTCGCGGCCACGAAGGCTGAATTAATGCCTACGAGGGGGCCGCAGTTAATAAACCTCCACCAGGCCTCCGGACTTATTAAATGATTATATTAACGCGTCGTACCCGGAGATTAATGTCGCCGGCTCTCTCGGTCGGTTAGGTCGCGCGGTATGAAAACGAGATCGTCGAGAAATATGATCTACACGGTAGGAGCCATCGCGGTAGCTTTGAGGCAATTACCGAGGACGATGAGCGATACTTTCGCGGACCCGCTCGATGGCCGAGTGCGAGAGAAAGTCGAGGCCTATCTCCGAGGACTCTGGAGACCCTCCGGGGTGGAGAAGAGAAAAAAAGAAAAAGAAAAGAACAAGGAAAGGATCGGGATGATCGGGACGTCGGAAAATTGGATTCGCCGACCGTTTCCTCGAGGTCGGTTTTTGCGCCGATTTCCGGGATCCTCCGGGCGGCCGACACGAAGGACTCAGCAAATTGAATGCACCGTCGCCCGCGAGGAGTATAATTAACGAGCGGTCGTTGAAAGTCTCATTTGAAGTTGTGTGACGTGCAAAGTGTCAGTTGCAGTCGCGAGTGCTACCGTGCGGTCACCGGATAGCACTACTCGGGTGACTACTGCGGTGTTAGCCTGTGACTACTTTACTACTGCTGCTTGTTCTAGAACGTTAGTAGCGGAGGCCTGATGATTTTATTGCCCGTGAGCATAGGCCTTTAATACATTCGCCGACGAAGTGACATCCCGGGGAAATGAGACCCGCCGAGAGTGGGGAGCCCCGTCCGTGGGAAGCTGGCGAGGCGAGACCCCGAGGCGAGAGTCAGGAGACGCGAGACGGAGACGTGTCATTAGACGATCTCTTTTCGCATGCCGAGAAACGATATCCAGGTTCCGAGGTGCTGAACTGAGCACCTCTGCGGGCCCCCCACTTTAGACCTCACCACGTGACCGCTCGGCCGCCCCTATTGGCTGGCGCGGTCACGTGGGTCGGCCCCAGTGGTGGGGAGAGCAGGGCGCTCAACCCGCGATTTTCGAAATCGACTTTCATCGTGAATCCCACAACAAGGACTTGGGAATTCAGCGGATCTCCGGGGCGCGCGGGATGATTCATTCTGCCCATATCTTAATGCAATTTCAGTGACTGTCCTCCGAACATGACACAACAGCGGTGTCCGGCCGCGAGTGCTTCATTGGAGGCGCAGGTCGGTCCTTAGTAGTCGGCGGCGAAATGACGGCTGGGAAAAAGGAAGAGCGATGGCCGCGTTGGTGGTTCTCCCGAGAGGCCGAAGAGAGAGAACTAGGTGCGAAAGCGGGAGCACAGGTGGACGCGCCGGGCGACGCCGGGCGTCGCCGGGAGCCAGAGAAGGACCGCGAGAAACGCCGGTGCACCCGGGGCCAACGAGAGGGAGAGAGCCCCGCCAATTTCTCCGCTCTCTCGGCCACCCACACCAGCCACTCGGGGCGATGTCACGTGTTTATAAATAGTGCATCAACGTAATGCTCAGCGGCTGTAGCTCGCGAAAGATTTACGAAGCCGCCTCGGGCCGAGACGCTGAACGCGGAACGGAATTTCGCGTGGCCTACAAGCCTCGGCGTCGTTCCTCGTTTGGGCTCGACCAACGAGGACCGGACATCGTCGATCGGACGTTATTTTACGAGGGCCGAGGCACTCGAGAGCGTGTTTCGCTCCCGGGTGCCTCCCGGGGCGCGGCTCCTCCGCGCGTTAATTTCCGCCGCGACAGCTCCCCTTCGAGCCGCTTATTCCGCCCGCCTCGCTGAAATCCGCCGCGCCGCGGAAATTAGCCGCGCTCACTCTCGGACCCGCCACCGTGTCGCGGAACTTTCCGCCGAGGCTTTTCGCCGCCACTTGCCAATTCCGCGTTAAAGCAACCGGACCGACGTCTTCGGAAGAGCTCCCTCTGATCAGCTGATCGATCGGCTCCGATCAACGGCTGCGGCGTGTCGAAATGATCTCCGCGATCTTCGATTTGATGTAACGGGAGGTATATTTATTGAACAATTTCGAAAATGGTTGATCAGCTGATCGGGCAGTTTCGATCGACCCGAGGGTCGCGGAACGTCGAAATGATCTCACGGGATTTCCTCTAACGGGAGATATATTTATTGAATAATTTCGAGAGTGGTTGTATCAACGGATACTGGAATGGACAATTTTATGGGAAATGTTTGTTGGATGATGCGCTTGGGGGTTATGTTGGATATACATGTCGAGAGAAAGAGGACGACTCGTCGAATCGTCTCGGACTGTCAACGGCCGGCGACATTTATCTGGCTGATCCTTAAGTCCCGGGACGAAGCCAGGGTGTATTTCTGCCTTCCGAGTGCCGGCCGGAAGTCCCTTCGGAGGGTGTCCTGAAAAATGGGAGCCGGCTCTCTTCGGGTCGCGTTTAAAACGCGCTTAAGACGCTTCGCGGAATCGGGGCCGCTAGAAGGCGTCCGAAGTTAAGTTCGGCTATAAATTCGGCCGGCCATGGACGTCTCTTTGGACTCGCGACGCGGTTGGTCGCGAGGTGGCGACGCTCGCCCCCGAGTTTAATAATCGACGTCGCTCGAGAATATAAATCTACGAAAAGATGAACGATAAAGGTGAATCTCCACGGTGAAGCTCCAGACATAAGGAGAAGAATCGCTGGCGGCCATCTTGCCCTGCCACTGATCACGCGGTTTAAAAGGAAACAAATACAATTTTAAATATATATATATATACACAGTTTTAAATATATACAGTAACTGATGGCGTCATTTGTGATTTGTATGCCCTTAAAAGCAAGGTACAATGCGATTTCTCGATATTTCCACGTTTTGGAATGCTATTACCCTTCGAAGGGGTTAGCATGGCAAGATGGCTGCTGCAGTCTCCTCCTCTACCGGGTTAAGCTTTAGTGTCTTGAAATCACACTTTCTGCTTCATCTGTTCATCATAGATCCATGCTTCTAACCAAGGATCAGTAAAAAGATGGATGATGGGAACCGTAACCACAAGAGGCAAGAAGATGGCGGCCATCTTGCCCAGCAAGTTTAACAGGGAATAAATTCAATTTTAAATATATCCATAGTAACTGTGACTGTCATTTTCTATTAGAACGTCCTTAAAAGCGGGGTGCAATACTATTTCAGAATCTTTACAGCGTTTAACCCGTGATTTATTATAAGTATATAACTTCGAAGGGGTAGCTTGGCAAGATGGCCGCTGCAGTTCTCTCCTTGCATGTTCGAGTTTCAGTTCCCTTGTTTGAAATCCTATTTTGTGCCGCATCGATCCACGGTGGCGTCTTCGGATTCCTTTTATCAGACCATAGCTGGACTATCTCGCGCGACCGATCCCAGTTCCTAATTGTCGATCCGTCCGAAAATTTGTGAACCATCCGGCGGGTTGATTATTCGTCACGCGCCGTCCTCGTAGAAATAGGAGCGCTCGCGACTACCGGGAGCAGGGGGATCGGGACGAGGTTATGTCGTGAGATGAAGCGTGAATACAGATTGCACGCGTTTGTCATCCTGACGGAATCTAACGAGCGTATCACAATGCACGCCGAAATAATGGAGGCCGACCTCGCCTGGTAACGGGTTACAAAGCGGCGATCCCCAGCTCGCGGTCGAGCCAGACTTCCTCGAGACGGTCTCTTCGTCATGGTAGTACGGCTGTTACCGTGGGTCATGGTGGTTCCAGTGGTACCAAATGATCGACGAGGACAAAATAATCGGATAATAATTTTCCAGGCAAAGTCTAAAGGAAAAGATCAGTTGGGAAACGTCCAATCTCATGGTTAATCACCCAAGTAAATGGCTTAGTTCCCCGGCGCAAGATATTTCGAATTACCATGTTCACAATCATAGTAGTTTTGGATGGCCAACTTTCTTTGAAAAGACGACATGCCAAGAAAAAGTGGTACCGCTGGTCATGGTTCTACCAGCGGTATAGCTG